AATTTGAAGGGCATTACAATCGTTTGCGTCTCCTATCTTCCCCCAGTATCTTAGCATCATCCGCAAACATGTTCATATAATTCTATATTCCTTCTGGTAGGTCGTTTACATAGACGATGAACATTATTGGTGCAAGAACTGAACCCTGTAGTACTGCACTAGTGACACTCCCCCAGTCTGACACATTTCTCTGATGACTGCCCTTATCTGTCAGTTAGAAAAATTTTCATCCATGTCAGAAGTCTCCCTGTCACCCCTCCAACATGTTCCAGTTTCCAGAACAGCCTCCTGTGTGGGACTCTGTCAATAGCTTTTTTTAGGTCCAGATATACAGTCAACCCAACCATCTCTTTCCTGAAGTACTGTATATCTGTGGCTCTATCATAAAAGCTAAGTAGATTTGTTACGCAGGATCTTCCTGTTTGAAAACCATAACGTCTGTCTGTTATTATGTCATTATTCTCTGTGTTCAACCCATTTGGTTTTAACTATTTTTTATAGTGTTTTGACTACCACGCTTGTTAAGATATGGGCACCACACAACCAATGCATATTCCAGCATTGGTCTAACAAAAGTCATGAATATTTTCTTTAGTATTTCTCCATCCATGTATTTAAAAGCAATTCTGAAGTTAGAAAGTGCAGCATAGGCCCCTCGCACAATGTTCTTAATTAATGTGGTTCTCAGGTGATAATTTTCTATCTAGAACCACCCCTAGATCTCTTTCTTTATCAGAATTCTTTAAAGCTTTCTCACATAATTTATAGGTTGTGTGGGGGTCTATGTTCTCCTACTCCACATTCCATAACATGGCATTTATTCACATTAAATTCCATTTGCCAAGTGGTGCTCCATATACTTATTTTGTCCAGGTCATCTTGAAGGGTATGACAATCTTCTAAGTTACTTAGCTTCCCTATTATCTTGGCATCATCAGCAAACATGTTCATAAAATTCTGTATTCCATCTGGTAGATCGTTTATGTAGACAATGAACATCACTGGTGCAAGAACTGAACCCTGTGGTACTCCACTTATGACATTTCTCCAGTCCAATACACTTCCTCTTATTACTGCCCTCATTTTTCTATCATTCAGAAAATTTTTCATCCATGTTAGCAGCTTACCTATCACCCCTCCAATGTGTTCCAGTTTCCAGAACAACTTATGTTGAACTCTGTCGAAAGCTTTTTTTAGGTCCAGATAGATGCAGTCAACCCAATCATCCTTTTCCTGTAAAATCTCTGTGGCTCGATCATAGAAACTGAGTAAATTCGCTACACGGGATCTTCCAGATTGAAAACCGTACTGTCTGTCTGATATATCATTTCTCTCCAGGTGTTCTACCCATTTAGTTTTAATTATTTTTCCAATACTTTCACTATTATACTTGTCAACGATACAGGTCTATAATTGAGGGGGGTCTTCCTTGCTGCCACTTTTGTAGATTGGAACTATCTTAGCCTAATTCCACATGTCTGCTACAACTCCTGTACACAAGGATGCCTGAAAGATCAGGTGAATTGGAATGCTATCTAAATAGCATCGTGTGTGTGTGTGTGTGTGTGTGTAAATGAATTTAATATAGTTATCAACTATAGTTTTAATTAAATGAAACTACAAATAGCATTTTTACATTTTTACATAGTCAATATTTTAAAATAATTTTGGTATACACTGTAGTATTTCATTAAATAATATATACATATACAATATATATATATATAATATATATATATGTCTATGCTAAGTGGACTCAATCAAAATATCACTGGTCAGATGACGATGATCGGGGATGTGTTCTACGGAGAGCAGACGGATCAATTCCTCCTCCTGATCCGACATGAGCCACTCTCGATCAGACTCATAGTAGTCAGACCAACCCTGCTAGGCAGAGAACCCAGATTTCTGTTTAGCTTCCACACTTTGAAAGCCAGTACTTTATCATCACTAGATAATGTTTATTTAGTTTAATGAAGAAACCCATCTTTAAGTTTTTTAGTTTTTATGTAAAACATTTTATTATACAAATCCTAAAAACATATTATTAATTGATATCCCTGAATGACCAGACACTCCATTCTATTGGGAGGAGGTGGACTTTTTGTATATGTTAAAATCTTGGTTCTCTGCCGTAAAAGTATATTACAAATGTAAATGTTAGGGAAGGAGATTAAGGCAACATACTTAGGAGATCACAGAACGTGCGCTATACAGCCAAAGTAGTTAATCAGCCCACATTATAACATAATAAAGTCCACCCTCCCAGATGGCATGCAGTGTCGTCATGTTACAAATTTTAGTCACAATAGTGCCAAGATATTAGATATTAAAAGGGTTCAGTAAATATGATTAAAAAATTGAATGTATAAATACATTATTGCACTGACTATATTCCCTTTTCTCCAAATATGAACAAACTCAATGGGATCTATATTCAGACGAGTCACAATAAAGAGTTGATGCCCAACACACACATCTAAAAATGAAGAAATGATGATGTTTCGGTTCCTCCTGGACCATTGTCAAGTCATGTAATTACATGACTTGCATGTAATTACTTGACAATGTTTCAGGATGGACTGAAATACTGTCATGTCTTCATTTTCAAATGTGTGGGTTAGGTATTAAACTCAATAGAGGAAAAAAAAGTAGAACCTGGGAGTCTTCATATTTCAATACTGAATACTTATTAATTAACCCATCCTCTTAAAATGATAGTACAGTACTTATATTAACTATTTGGTCCAAAGTTCTGATGCACAGTGTTGGACCATCAAAAAGTTCTCACTGTGTACTTTTAAGTGTATAAAGTCCAAGGAAAAACCTAAAAAAAAAAATATTCCTAACCCTAGCACATCACATACAGTATATCCTATATTAGGCCTAATAGGATGTATTAGTAGTAGGCATCCATCAGTCTCAGGAGACTATGGAGTTGCGCTCTGGTTGTCGGGCTAGAGTGGCCTCTCCAGGGCGCAAAGCCAGGGTAGGTTGAAACGGAGAAGCTGTTACCCATGCAGCAGGTCCCCCCTCTCCACGGCGACGAAGGCCTCCAATGGAAAGGCAAACACCAATACGATTGGTTCCAGCACCGTCAGTTCACAGGAACTGTCAGAATGAGGTTGAAGGCAACAACGAATTGCCTTAGGGGCTCAAGCTCCGGAATTTACATCGAAGATGGTAAAAGAAGGCACAGGGACTCCAAACCCGGAGTCATGTATTAGGACTATTTTTAATAGGACAGGTTAAGTTCTTTAGGCTCATTTCGAATTTAAGAGAATGTCATTTCTGCTAATTCAGTAATCTTGAGGTTATCTTGAGATGATTTCGGGGCTTTTTTTTTTTTTTTTTTTTTTTTTTTTTAGTGTCCCCGCGGCCCGGTCCTCGACCAGGCCTCCACCCCCAGGAAGCAACCCGTGACAGCTGACTAACACCCAGGTACCTATTTTACTGCTAGGTAACAGGGGCATAGGGTGAAAGAAACTCTGCCCAATGTTTCTCGCCGGCGCCTGGGATCGAACCCAGGACCACAGGATCACAAGTCCAGCGTGCTGTCCGCTCGGCCGACCGGCTCCCCAAAGTAATACAAAATGTGAACTTCTGGGTGGTCCAAGACTACATATTGGTAATTTACAACAAATGCTTGCTGATATATCCATTATAACAATCTTTCTTTGTTTCATGTGTGTTCCATATGTTTTGTATTTTTCATTTACGTCTCAATAATGGAGCAGCCTACCCAACAAACATCAAACAAACCTTTTTGGCATTTGTTGTATTTCAGAAATTTCATTTCTTTTTTCTACAAAAACATCACCCCTTTATATCCCAGCATCATTAGCATCTTTAAACAAGAACAACATAATTTATTTGCATCGTCAGAGGCGTCCAAGAACGTGCAAGAAGCAGTGCGACCCCACTAAGTGGTGTTGACGTTATTCAAACGAGCGTTTGCCATAAAGGACGATTTGTCGCCGATCGGGCCGGTCGTTACCCAAAATGTTTGCCTTTTGGGGTGATCATTATGCGAGGTACCATTGTATATATACATATACCACACATACACACACAGTATATATAGCCAGCAAACACTTTTCAACAAGCTTACCATCAAATACACAGTCAAGATCAAATTTTGATTAACAAAATTCTAGATATAACATGTTAAAATCTCTTTGAGGGGTCACATATACAGGACATTGATTTTACTATGGTCCTTCTACCATCTATTCTTCACAGAGGATCACAATTAATACTCTCATGGGATAAGCATCGATACTCAAGTACTGGGCATCACACTGCTACAGTTTCCCTTAATGTTGCTTCTTGTGCTATACACGCCAATTACTTGTGATCAATATATGTACATACACCCACTTGCTTACCTAACTTGAAATTGATTCACATTAAAGAATACATGTTTAGGTAACTTTCCAAATCTCTAAACCAAAGAATATTCTTAGAAAGAAAAAAGATGCTGAATGAGATGTCAGATTTATACTAAGATGTTTAAAAAATTTAAGAAACAAACCTAAATTATGTGAAACTATAATAATAATAATAATCACACAGAAATCACATTAATATGACATATATCAATGAGAAAATCCACCAGGGCCTTAAGTGGGCGTGAACCTAGTGGTAGAGTACGCAACTGGCAATGCTGGGGACGTAGGTTCGAATCCACATCATAGCCCTAATGGATTATCTCAATAATAATAATAATAATAATAATAATAATAATAAATACATTCATATGAATGTACAAAGAAGCATAAGATGAGGGGACAATTATAGGTAGAGGGGTTACGTATAAGAATGAAGTTACTACTATGTAATGTGTCTCGGGCAAAGATGATACACTTGAAAACAAGAAACACAGTCTTCCCCCCAACAAATAGTCCAAGCTCTACAAGAACCACAAAATGCGTAAGGCTTTATAAGAACGAAAATGCTATAACATCACCTCAAAATTGAGGCGAGTGTAATATTCAGACCTGTACATGTGTCCGAAGGCATGTGTTCCAGAGCATCATCTTAGACCAGGAGGAGTACATAATTTGAGTTGTTGTGAGGAGAAAAATTGATATAAAAGATGATGCACGTTAAACAACATAAAGGAATAAATGATGGGGGGAAATGAACGACCGATGCGAGACATTCCTACTATAGGAGAGAATATTAATATGGGTTAGTCTTTAATACTGAAGACAGTTCTTCTACATATACAATATAGAAGTTATAAATCTACAGATTACTTTATAAAACAACTCCTTAAAACTGACTTTAGATCATTTAACCAACATCTGAGTCTATATAAGAGGTTAATATAACAAAACAAAAATTGTGTGATGTGTGTGTGTATGCATAATGACCTAAGTGTTGTTACAGGATGAGACCTACACTTTTGGTGTCCTGTCATACAATGCTTTGAAAATGCTCATGGGTTTGGCATCCACTACCCCTCTCACCTAAACTATTCTAACCATTCACAACCTCCAGTCTCACCAATGACCAGCACTATGTCCTGCTTCCTCAATCACAGCCACAGCACTCGGGATTCTAACACTCAATTAGGCATGAAATATTCCACCCATTTCTAGTTCAAGTTTTAGTTTTAAGTACTGATGGCTTAACACTTTGCACGTCCCGGAGTGTGCGCCCCGGCCCACTCTAATTGGGCCCTGGCATTTCCCGGGAGTGCGCATCCACACTAAAATGTGTATACTCTTTCCAGTGTTCTGACCTCAATTGTCGTGCTACGTCGTTCATTTTGGTATCAAATTGGTCGTAATCTAAAGGTGAGCATTAAAACTAGTCCCATAATAGTCGAACAATAAATGGAATTTTAACAGATTTTAATTTTGGATGCAAAATGCACTTCTGCCGGACATCAGTAGAGTTAATTACGGACGCAATGTCCGTCACCGCAAGCTGAAAGTGTTAACAGTGAATCTCCTTATCTAATGTATTAATTATTACTGAAAAATATGAATCTTAATCCCACTGCCTTTTTATAAGACCTTGTGATGCTTTTGCTTTCTACTTAAATTTGTAAGCTATCCAGGTGGAACCTGGTACAGCCTGTATAATTTGTTGGTGGCATTTACATATCCCAACAAGTTCACTATCTTTAAAACTCAGTTACATGAGATATAGAGTACCGTAATTGCTACTTTCATGCCGTATCACGTATCTTGAGATGATCTGATTTATCTTGTTGCAATTCTTAACCAACTTTCACCATATTCATATTTTGATTTACATAACCACCCCTTAAAAGCCTGAACAAATGTGCCAAAGAATGAGGTCCTACCTTTGCAGACTCCTTCAGTGTAGTCATTGCAGGATCATTGAGCGATTTGCCAGATGCAGCCTTGGTCGCATGAATCAAATCTCCAAGAGCCATTGCAACATCCTTGACAGCATTCAACAGCATCACCTGCAATAATATCAATATAATTACATAATTCAGAAGCAGCAAATCCTCTGCCAGTATTCAAATGAAACTTTCGAATACTGATTTCACTTATTTTGTTCAGTAATACAGTACATGACTTTTGAACTTATTAGTAAGTAAAAGCTGCAGATAACTCAAAATTCCACCTGTCCATTTACTTGCATGATATTCTTTACCTGTGGCTCAGGGTTGTTGGCTCCAAGTGAAGAGGCCCCACTTTTGACAATATCTGACAGCTGTACTATTGTAGTTACTGCATTCTGTGCAGCAACAGCCAGCTGTTCTTGGGAGGATGCCGCACCAGCCACAAGTGTCTTGGTGTCTTCAACCAGTGCCTGAAAAACACGGTCCATAATAAACAAAGCAGTACTGTATTCTCATTTTATTACATTATAGGCACAAGAGATTAACCCTTTATATGTAGTCAACATTTTTAAATTAAATTTTGTGCTTTACAAGAAAGTATATTTGTATATTACAACGATCATAAAAAATAAGATAAAAATCCCTCTGATAAATCTACTGGATGGAGAAAGGGCCACAGATATTATGAATTAAAGCAGTTTGCAAGTCCTTGTGGTTACCTTGGCAGTTTTTAGAATGTATTCACGGTGATCAGAGAAGTTTTCTCCTTCTTTCTCAGCATTAAGTGTGCCCGCAGTGGCAAACATAATTGTTGTATCTAAATCACCAATTATGCCAGACACGGTGGATGCAGCATTGATGCATGCTTGAGTGCCTCGGGAACCAGCTTGGAGCGCAGCCAACACGTGAGAAGCCTGTATATAAATATGTTAATGACAGATTAATAAGGTAAAATTCAAGATATAGACAATTATATGAAAATTCAAGTTATGGCCAGTTTAAAGGAAAATAAATTATGTAGTGAACAAAGATCCAGTTTTACAGCCGCTACACCGAATGACAAACCTTCTCTTTAACTTGTCGGGCAGATTCAGACAAGTCTCGTTGACTGAAGGTATCACGTGGAGCAGACTGGCAAGATCCTCCTGCCTTTACCAGCTCGATACAGGCTTGACCAAGTTCATGAACGCTGAAAATAGATATAATATTTTTTCTAGGAAAAAATTTGATCGAAGTCTATTACACGCTCCTAACTGATTTCTTGCTGTGGATGGAAAGAAAAGATGAGATCAAGGAGCAAAGGTAAATTAAAGACACTAAGTAGATATAGACCTTGACTGGAAACTTTTGTCTGAGAATCTTAGCTTATAAAATGCTGAATCCTCTTGTTATCTTCAAATTCTGATAGTATGCCTGAATTATATTCATGTTTGGCTGCCATTCAGGTAAAAGTCATCACTCTTTGGACCATCACATATGTGAAAGCCACCTCTCTTGCTTGGCATCCATAACTTTTAAAGTGATTACAGGAATGTTGTTAAAATACGGACAACCATATGCTTATCTGGATATGTTGGTTATCTGTTTTGGGTTTGTTGGAATAAAATTACTGATAAATTGGTGAGGCCAGCAGGCAGTCCAAATAAAAATGTGCAATGAAGTGGATAGATCTTGTTTGAAGTGACCATGCTGGGCCCCCACCTACTCAATTGACACCATAAGCCCACGGCCCATTGTTTTGATTTGTCATAATGCATTGGAGCATTTATTTCTGTGATTTTGTTGTATATACAGTATCTGCAAAATTTAAAAACTTCCCTGCTCTACATCAACTCCAACTGTAGTCATTTTGTCAGTGCTACAAGTGAGAAAACCAAGAAAAAGAGGTCAGTGCTGACATTTGATAATAAAGTTTAAAGGAGGTGGAGAGTGGGACCTTAAGAAGTGCTTTATGTATTGACTATCAAATGAGCAAGACTAAGCTTTCACACATTATTAAGGCTAAATCTACCATCTTCAATTATTTTTATAAAAGTGAGTGATAAAGCAATATGTAATAGAGAGGCAGCATGTAGAACTAAGGTGTAAAGCATTGATAATGTAGTGTGGGAATGGTACAAGCACTTCATCATCTGAGGGTACCTCATCACCATCAATCTCCAGTCAATACACCACCATAAACATCCACCACCTCTAACCTCTAAAGAACTATGGCCCCCATCAACAACCTTTAATTTGATAAGCATATCTGAACTTCTCATATTGGTGGGTATAAAGCACTGTCCAATATTTCCCGTAGATTTTTAGGATGATGAACCGCTTATCCGTACACAAAAGATTATTCGTTTGGTCTCGGTTCTGAAGCGTCCAAGGAGCATGTAGCCATCTGTATCTTATTTTTATTAGATTAGTGGCATGAAGGCATACTTCAAGAAAGGAACTAGTTAGCACCAAATCTTTCAAGCCTGTTTTTAACTCTTCCATACAGCATGAAAGTGCATGAGTAAGATCATGACATCTGCAGAATATCTGTGAAGTAAATATGGCACTGAATCCCAGTACAGTCTTTTCTTGCTAACTTAAACTCAGATGGTTCAAACCACTGGGTAGCTCCACAAAATCACAGTTGGATTGGGTTCAATGTCTTTTTGCATTATCCACCATAAGTGCTGTACTAAGATCTCTTCAAAAGTCAGTTCTTTAAGACATCTTATATACAGTTTTAATAAATATCACAAGAGGATTTGGTATTAAAATATTTGCAAATATAAGTTCTATCATTTCCACTAATAATAAAAAAAATCACTAATTTTTACTGTCAACTGTCTCCCCGTTTTACAATACAAAAATACAGAACAATGAAAGTACTAACTCAAACTGCTGTGCCATCCACACTGTCACACAGTCTACATCAGCCAATGCAATATTTAGTAGATTGTTGATCATCTCTTCTGATAGATATTTATGCAAAAAGACTGCTTCCTCAATACATACTAGCATGGTTCAATTAGTTGGGCAATGGTGTGGTATGTGACGGTGATACAAACAATAAGTAGAGCCCTTGCTGAACAGAGACAGATCATTTCATTTACATATCACTGGAAACGGTCAAATAATGTGCCTAGCCCATTGTGGTTTGTGGTAGGGGCCTGAAAGCTGAGTGGACAGCGCTTCAGATTCATAGTCCTGAGGTTCCGGGTTCGATCCCCGGTGAAGGTGGAAACAAAATGGGCAGAGTTTCTTAAACCCTGATGCCCCTGTTACCTAGCAGTAAATAGGTACCTGGGAGTTAGACAGCTAGTACGAGCTGCTTCCGGGGGGATGTGTAACAAAAAGTAGGCCTGGTCGAGGACTGGGCCGTGGGACACTTAGCCCCAAAATCATCTCAAGATGACCTCAAGATAAACCCTTGTATACATCTTAAACCAAAATGACTTAAAACACCTTTCCCCACAAAGCCACACATACTTTCCACAAATAAAGATATACAATACAGGGGGACAAGATTTTTGATTCATGTAATTAAGTAGCGACTTTGAAATATGAACAATGTGAATAATAGCTTAAAATTTAAAGCATAAGAGCTAACATAGAGGAGATGATACAGTAAGGCCAGGGGTGAGGTGTGCACACACATATTGTGTTGAACATAGATAAAGAAATCACTATGATCCACCTGTATGGCCAGAGTTTTTCAGAAACTACTCTTCTTGAAGTTAAGAGCCTAAGCAATATATGAAAGCTGTACAATAAGAATTTTTTTTAATTTAATTGTCATAATTTATAAAATAAACCCTTGTAGTTAGACTTTGCAAGGAACTTGCCTGCTTCGTAACCGGCTAGCCACCTCGACATTTGTGGTTTGCCGGATGGCCCCAGCCGAGTCTGAAGAGAGAGAGCTGTACTGGTGAGACACACTGGCACCCAAATTTCCAAGCTGTGAAGCATCTGCAGTGGCCTTACCCACCTAAAACAAAACCAAAAACAAAAACAAATTAGTATATTGCTATTTTAAAAAATTTGATTTGTTAAGAGCAGAGTTCACTGCAAGTTAATTATAAATTATTATTTTAATTACTGTACAACTCAGTCATCACAATCCACATTGTTACACCATTTTCCCCTACAAGGGCTGGGGAGACAATTGAAAGTAAAGCATAAGATCTAAGGGAAAACAGAAGACAACCACTGAGCCACACAGACCATTTGGATAGTATTAAATGAAGAATATTGTTAATCTAATAATAGGAGTTACATACTGTAAAGGCAGGCCACTGAACCTTAACAAAAATGAAGGCAAAAATATTTGGGCAGAAATATCTAGGGCATCTAGATCTAGATAATAATGTTTGCATTATTAGTAATTTTAATATAATAAAATGGAGTAATATAACAATCCTAGAATGCTTCGAATCACTATGTGGTCCAATCTGACAAGGGGTCTCATGAAACACATCTCTGTATACAGCTTGAAAGCTAATACATTTTCAACAACCATATAACTTTAGTTTTTAACAGCTTTAAAAATGCCCTTTGGCATAGATACATATTTTGTTTACCTGGAATAGAAAGATTGAAAAATGCAAGCCATTTAATACTAAGATTTGGTTTGGGTAGTAGATAATGGAAATGTCTGTCAAGAAGTAAAGTTATATCATTCTTTAGGAATACAGTAGTATATTTTACATCACCAACATACCATATCCTGAGCAAGCCGTGCAATCTCTTTGGCAGCTGTGACCATACGCGTTTGGTAATCAACAAAACTATCAATGTCATCGGCGGGCACTCCAGATGGGCTTTCAATATGATGCATTGCTGTAGTGATGGACTCCACCAAGCCCGACACAACACCAGCCTCAGTTGCAATAGTCTCCACAGTTAGCAGCAGTTCCTGTACAAACAGTAACACTAGTGTTTAAAGACAATTTATTTCACAAGGATTTTGCAATTATTTTGCTTGTAAAGAATAACAAGTAACCTTATAATTAACCATTTTCCCCTATCATGGGGTAAGGTAAGGTATTTCCCACTTTCAGTAGGAATGAAGGTCAGTTCCCCACCTTCAAGAGGTAAGGATGCCCATTTCCCACTTTCATGAGGTAAGGAGGCCCGTTTCCCCCTTTCATGGGGTAAGGAGGCCTATTACCTACTTTCATGTAATAAAGAGGCCAATACTTACACGAGGCAATGAGGACCATTTCCCACTTTCATGGAGTAATTCATTATATACTGTCCAATGTACCATATAGCATCACAGATAAAAGAAGCACTTGTGATAAATGCCTATACATACCTGCAAGGTCTCCTTCATTGTGTCAGCTGCATCATCAACATCTGGGTGAGCATGCGTAGCTTTAGGGTTGCCACCCGCCTCCTTGGCTGCGTACACTAACTGCAGAGCACACTCGGCCACAGTCTTGGTTTGGTCCAGCAGACACATCTGCTGCTTACTGATTATAAAATAACAAAATATATATTTAATATATTGTTTTACCTGCCAAGATTGTTTTCACCTACCAAGGCATAAATAAATTTATTCATGCAAAAAGCATAAAATATTGAATATATAATCTCACTTTCATATATGCAATCTAATTAATATGGTAATGGCAACTTGTAATAAAAGTGGGCATGCATCTACCTGTTAAGCATATTTGATGCCGAGCAAATGGAAGCTTTAACCATGGGATCGAAATAGCTGGACATCTGCGTGACGGCATGACCAAGATTTTCAGCTTCACTTTTGGCAGCATTTCGGACCTTGTCAATATTGTTTAGCAGAGCCTGACCAGCATTTTCAACTTGTTCATTGTATCCCTAAATTAGAAATTAGAATTATTTTCCATATTAAAAATCCATAGATGATAGAAAAGAATTCTGAAAATTCAAATTTTTTGTTTTTTAGAAATAGTATAGGACAACCAATAATTTTTTGTTTACTTTTATTCCTAAACATCAACATTAAACCTGAGTGTGGATGATAATATATAGTGAACCAGGGTATGGATGATATGAAGTGAACCAGGGTGTGGATGATAATATATAATGAACCAGGGTGTGGATGATAAATATATAGTGAACCAGGGTGTGAATGTGCTGTGGTAATGTAGCTAAAATAAAAAATCATAAAATTCAATCATCTTATTATCTAGAAAAATAATCAGAGAAAATATATTTCTTGCAACAGACTCATTGTAGTGTAGGTCAAGGAATTACCTGGAGACTGTTCTCACTGTGCTGTTCAAGATTCTGGTCCAAGACACGTAGAGAAGCTTGGTCCAAGTCTCGGATGTTCATGTTCAGCTTGTCGAGGGCTTCGTCACACTCCTTCTGTCCTGGTGCCTTATCCCTAGTCAAATTTGCATTCATATAATATGATTTACATTGAGCACACCAAAATGGACAAATATATTAAGGACAAGGTGACAAAATCACTTGTGTTCACTAAGCAACATTTAGATCACATAGCACACATTGTTCCTGTAAAATCTATAATATCTCGTTCGACAGAAACGTGATTCAAAGTAAAGTTTGGATGCAGCAGAATGATTACAATCTCATTATGGTTACTCTTACTTCAATTATGTTGAATAGATGCTTTTACTTATCAGTGTCTACTAGCAGATAGATTGTGGTTCTTGGGCCCTGCCTCCTAGCTATAAATACCTGCTGCTATTATTCCTTAACATTAAAGTTCTCTATTGTATTTGCTCTTGAAACTGTGGCAAGTTTTACGTAGAAAGTAGTGCATGTTAAGAGTTAAGTGTAATGAATGACAAAATTCTAATTCCAACAGAATTTAAAATTCTGGTTGACAAGTACAGTCTGTTAAATCCTGATGAAATCAGATTCATGTCACATGATCTGTGCATTTAAAGTAATTCTTGATGCCTGAATCTGTGGACATAAAATGCTGATGCTGAGAAGATTTCTACAAATTCATGGTATAATTAGTTTCTGTTAATTATCTTTTATATTGAATACATCTAATTTTTTATCCTTTAAATTAGTTTATTTGTTATGTCTCACATCTTTTATAATGTTTGCTTAATATCAGAAAATTTTAAACAATTATTTATTTACTGTATCTCCCTTACTACTACCATTATTTTCATGTTGAGATTTAGACTCTAGGCCAGGTCCTGAAACCAATTAGGTTTGACTATTTTTTCTATAGAACACAATGCACCAGTCCTTTAACATCCAGCTCCCCAATTACTGATTTGAACACAGAGATAAAAATTCAAGGTTACTCCTGGCATGGTGGGATAAGTTAAAATATCCCACCATGCCAGGAGTCAAACCTGGGTTGATCTCAAATGTGAGACAAGTGTGTGAGGACACTAACTGCTCCACCAATTGGTGCTACAAATTTGAATGAGAAAATACTACAGAGAAATGCATCAGATCAATCCAACTATCTTCTATAAAGACTGAGAAAATATCAAGACCGTACCATAGGATCAAACCCAAGTCCCTGAACTCCGTAGTCAGTAGTGAGTGTGACTGGAGAGTTCAAGGATGCACATTTCAGTCCATCAGCCTCAATAATATTTCAAATACAAATTGGTCCTGTGATTTACTTTTGCATTATAAATTCTTTACAATCAAATTGCTGCACAAAATTTATGAGTGCCTGAACCAAGCTGCAACAGTAAATTGTCTTACCTGATAGATGCCACAAGACTTTTAATGCTGTCAGAAACACTCTTACTATGGCTAGCCAATGACTGCCAAGTAGGTGGGTCTTTGGGGTTAACAGCCAGGCTCTTGGCTGATTCAATCATGGAACATGACCCACTGATGATTGACTTTCCTGCAGATGTAATTGGCTCCTGAGATTCACGAGCTTTGGCAGAAATTCTTGCAGGAACTGATGCAAAGTCTGGAGAGCTTGCAAACGTGCACAGATTTTCTACAGCTTCAAGCAGTGGTTTGGTGGCAGCACTACAACGGGCACGGTTTACATCACTGTAATCCTGGTCCAGAGCTGACACCAGAAACACACAATTTTAATACAATACAAATAAATTGCAGGATTTCCAAAATTATTTATAAATGCTCATCTATGTATCCACATTCTCATCTCCAACAGACATTTCAATAACTTTATACAATTTGCAACATTTGCAGATGATAAATCACAATAATGTGGATGAAACAAATAAATCAAACATGTACTGTATTGAATTACAGCAAATGAAAGTGATGACATTTTAGTCTATTCTGGACCCCTTATCAAGTCATGGTCTGTCACTTTCATTAAATATCATGTGTGGATTGAGTTAGTTAGCAACATTATTAATGGAGCATTACAAATATGTTGGGAAACTTTTGTCACTGCTGGCTACTAAGAGGCAAGAATACGTGAAAAGACTGATGAGTGACTCGGCAAACTTGGGCATGTGCCCAAGTCAGTCAAAATTAAGACAAAATAGATCATAAAAAGGGAAAACCATGAAAAAGTTACATTCATACTTACTCTTAATTTCCTTAACCAGGTGAGCAGTTGCATTAGCAACATCTTTAGCAGATTGCACAAAATGTCTTTTGGCCACTACATTGTTGGTCTTGGCAGATGCAACACGGCAGCTGTTGCATAAGGCACTTGTGTGCTTGGCAATGATTGTTGCTGCACTAAGGACCTGCTGTTGATTGCTGTTTGAGTCAGTGAGAGTTTGGCAAGCTGTAACAATAGCTTGATTTGCACGAGCAAACTGAGACTGATCAACTAATCCAGGACGTCCAGAAACACTTGAAGGGTCAGACACACCAACAAGGTACGCAGCTTGAGCAGCGCTCTCAACCAGTCCACAGATAGCATTACTCACATCTTTTACAGCATACCCAAATTTGTCATGTTCCAATTTCTTGGCATGGTTAGCAATGCCAGTCATGGCATCCCCTAGACTCTTCGAGCGATCCATGACAGTATCCAAACATTCAAAGTACGACATATCGGTAACAGCCTCAGATGGATGGTCAAGAAGAGGCTTCATTGAGTGAATAGCACGAACAGCATTATCACACTCCTTCTGCCCTGGAGCAGCAGAAGTGCACACATTGATGAGATTGTTGATGGAGTCAGTAACAGCACGTGCAGCACTTGCCAGCTGGTTCTTAGCATTGGGTGCATTAGGATCTGAAGAAACTGTTTTTGCAGATACTAACAACTTAGATGAGGACATAGACACGCTCTTCAAGCTAATAACTATCTGTCCCTGTACTTCACGATCTTGAGCAGTACCAGCCATCTCCATGCCAACACCCATTAAACTGCCAAAAGCACCAGAGAATTTCTTAGATGACGTTGCCAAATGTTGTGTTGACATACGTGCCGAGGTCACCACTTCTGAAGTAACACTGTTGAGTTCAGCAGCAGCATTGCTCAGTTCAGACTGCAACTCGCCATATGGTTTTGAGCTACGTGGGAACCTGCCAGCATCCAAATCATTAGTAGAGTCTGTAATGCTCATTATAGCATCATCAACATCCTTCTGTCCTGGTAAGCAATTAACTGTCATATTGAGAGCTTGTGATACTCCTTTAGCAACCTGAGCAAGCTTCTGTTGTGAAGCAACACTCTGAGGGCCCTGTACCACAATACGTGCCTCTTCAATTAACTCTGAAGACTTGATCATGACTTCTCGTGCAGCTTCTATCAGTCGAGTCCTCACAGTATGCTCCGTGGTTGTAGCGACAACACCTCGAACTGCATCAGAAAATTCTTTGAGGGCCTGTGCAGTATCACGAGATGCCAAGCCTGTGAAATGTTGGTTACCTTGGGAAGATGAAGTTAGTAACTGTGCCATGGTGGAGCCTACAGTCTTGCTAGAATTTGTAAGTTGCTGCGCAGCATTCTCCGGAGTCTCACCTGGAAGAGGTCGTAAAGTACCTGTTTCGGCTGCTTTTTTAAGATCATTAAGATCATCACTGAGATACTGAATGGCATCTAATGCAGAGTCAATTTCTAGTGATCCACAAGCTTCTTGAGCTTTTCCAATGGCAGATCTAAGGTCAACCAGTGCTTGGCCAAACTGCTTGGAAGAATTATTTAGTTGGAGGGCAGAAGCTTGGTCTGAGATAGTGGGTAAAGCCGCTTTCACAGAGGCTACCATTTTTGTACCAGGCTGTAGAAACTGGTTGCATGAATTAATGAGGGCCAACTGAGCACGTGGGGAGTCTGGAGTGTTGATAGTACCCTTCACACCTTCCACAAGCCGAGGAATAACATCGGCTACTGATTTACAGTCAGATATTAACTCGTCCTGAGTGGGTGGACTACTGTTGTGTGGACCGGCACCCTGGGCAGCAGCCATACACTGAGTACCTGTGGCAGCAGCATGCTTAGCAGCATTCTCCAAGCGCTTAATAATCTTTTTCTTCAGTGCATTGGCTGCAGCAGCATTGGTTGCAACACGAACATTCTCTGCAGCTTCTCTAAGTAATACTTGCCTATTTTCATCATTAGGATTTGAAGCACACTGCTTGGCAGCCTCTACCATCTTTGCTGTGGCATCAGCAAGTTGTTTAGCTGCAGCTAATAATCTGTTCTGCAGATCTAAATCATCTTGGGTTTCTGCCTCGTATTTAATAGATTGTATAAGGTGTGATGTGGCTTGTGCCAAAATCTTAGCCTGTCTTACCATTTCTGATGCATTACCCTGAGAAGCAAATAACTTTTCACTTGATATAAGGATCGTTTCCACAGCTTCATCGTGAACACTGAGACGCCCTCTTTGTTCCCCTGCAGTCTTAATGTGGTTTAGAAGATCATTGAGAGCTCGAGTGACTTCAGCTGCTGCTTGGGAGAGATCACGAAGTAGTATATCATCTTGAGTGGCCCGTTGGCACACTTGAACCATGCATTCAACAGCACGACCAACTTCCTTTGCAGCTTCAATTAGCTGACTCTGACATGCAGGGCTATCAATAGTTGGGGCTACTACTTTAGCACATGCTACCAGTTGGGAGGTAGCTAGAGCACATGCAGTGGCAGAATTAATTACAACATTTTGGAGGTCTTGATCCTCACAGCGTGATGCAACTGCCTTGGCTTTGAGGATAAGAGCTGCAGTGGTGTTTGCAACAGCCTTAGCCAGTCCTAGAAGAATATCTTGAGTTTCGTGATCTAACTGAGCATCAACAGTGTGAAGGACAACGTTGGATGCCTCTCCAACTTGAGAAGCAGCTGTAAGCAAACCCTGACGTGGTTCTTTTCTCTCGGGTTCAGCAGCAATCAATAAGTCAGAAAAGGCATTGCAGAGAACCCTTGCTGCACCTAAAAGATTATTTGATTCATTTTCAGTTTCAAGCAAGGCAGCAATCATGCGAACCCCCTTGGTCATTTCTGGCAGATTAGATGTGATGGTATGAATGGCAGCACCCACAGCAGTGTGATCAACCTCTTCATGTACAGCTGAAAAATGGAAAGACAATTTATTGACCAAATAAAATGGGGAAAAATATAATAAGCATTGCACTTAGTCACTTTACAGAAAGGTTATTTCTGTCTGTAAAGGCTATTCACAGTCAGGTTATTTTATCACAAGTTAAAACAACCTAAGATAAATTCTTAAAAATACTGTATTTAGTAATACTAGACATTAGTATTATAAACAAAATTATCTCAATTAATGCTGATCTGAAACAGGATAATATGTGAAGATGCTGATTACTGTTTTGTTCTTGATATTAAATATTTTATAGTCAATAACTCCTGTATATATATATATATATGTGTGTGTATGTGTGTGTGTGTGTATTATTTATTTATATATATATATATATATATATATATATATATATATATATATATATATATATATATATATATATATATATATATATATATATATATATATATATATATATATATATATATATATATATATATATATATATATGTCGTACCTAATAGCCAGAACGCACTTCTCAGCCTACTATTCAAGGCCCGATTTGCCTAATAAGCCAAGTTTTCATGAATTAATGTTTTTTCGTCTACCTAACCTACCTAACCTAACCTAACCTAGCTTTTTTTGGCTACCTAACCTAACCTTACCTATAAATATAGGTTAGGTTAGGTTAGGTAGGGTTGGTTAGGTTCGGTCATATATCTACGTTAATTTTAACTCCAATAAAAAAAAATTGACCTCATACATAGAGAAAAGGGTTGCTTTATCATTTCATAAGAAAAAAATTATATTAAATATATTAATTCAGGAAAACTTGGCTTATTAGGCAAATCGGGCCTTGAATAGTAGGCTGAGAAGTGAGTTCTGGCTACTAGGTACGACATATATATATATATATATATATATGTTTATGGATTCAATATTATGCAGCAAATATTAACTTTGACTTACATGATGTTAGTGTGACAACTTCTGCAGTGGCAGCATTCATGGCAGCAATCTGACTCGTGACTGTCTGCTTGTTTGAGTCAAGGGTTACCTGCTTCCACTTGATGGATGCTGGGTCTGTGCCCAGTTCAGGAAGTTCAGCCTTGGACTCCAAACTTTGTGCACATTCACCAATAATCACTTGCCCAGTTTCAATAGTAGAGACAAGGGCTTTTTGTGGCTTGCTGAGAACACTTGTTACTTGAGGATGCTTGACCTGATGATACAACATAAGATGAGAAAATAAGATGTTAGAGAAATACTTTCATCCATATAAATAGTTTATATCGCAGTTCTTGAAACTACAGTGTGGCAAATATTTTCAGGTATTCTGTGGACTTTTATCACACGAAAAACCATAACAAAATTGTAACCATAAAATTTCTTATGATTTATGGATATATACTTTGCAAAAGAATGCACCTCATCCCTCATGCTTTAAACAGTTCACAATAGAGACATATGCATGACACCTACTTGCATTCTTAGTACTCCTAGGTATGGAGCTTGTAAAAAGAAAAGGAAAAACTGCTATCAAAATGTCACTACGAAGAAAAATATCTTCTTAAAAGACACATAGCTAAAATGTAAAAAAAAAAAGAATAAAAATATTCCAGAGGAGGAGGATGCGAATGTGGTGGCAAATTTTAACAGAGGGGATAAATAACTAGTGTCAAACTGTCGACCAATTAGCTTAATGTCTATTGTGGAAAAATTGCTTGAATCAATATGTAAAAGCATTCATATAAATCTTGAAACACACAGAACAACAAAGGAGTCACAACTTGGCTTTACTAAGCTGCTCAAGTCTAACTAATTTTTCTCATTCTTTTCCAGAATTTTTGAAGCAGTTGATAGTGGAAAAGACTGTGGCATTATATATGTTTCGACTTACACAGTCTTTGATACTGCACTTTACGAAAGGTAGAAGTGCATAGTATTAGAGGAGTCATTTCAAGTTGGATTTGGACTAGGTTATTTCAAAGGAATCAGCAAGTAAGCATAAGTAGAGTCAAACCCCGGTGGGAAACAGGTGTGTATGGAGAGCCCTGTTGTTTATAACAGGGCTCTCCACACACAACTTCTCTTGTGTGTGGTGTTTTTGTTATTGTTTACTATATATCAACGATTTAGACACAGGACTAAGGAGCAACATTAGCAGATTTACCAATAATAAGGTAGAAAATAAACTCAGATTACTCAAAACTGCTACAAAATGACTATGATCTACATTTAAAATGGATGAAAGATGAGCAAATACAGTTTATTGCTGACAAATGCAGGGTTCTAACCCTAGTAAATGATAATAAAAATTACCAGATATCAGCTGGATTATCGTGAAATTTCCAAATCTGAATGAAAAAAGAAAGATCTGGATGTTATGATTAGTAGAGGTCTTAAGCCAAGAAATCAATGTATAAATGCTCAAATAGAATGCTTTGATTCCTAACAAGACTCATACCTAATACAGTAAGATATTTAATATTACTCTTCAGCATTATCTTGCCCTTGTTAGTCCTCATTTAGATACGAACGGTTACAAATCGGTTACAAATCTTTTTTTGGAAAATGTACCAAGAAGGATGACAAAGATTAGAAACCTCCCTTATGAAGAAAGATTAAGAAAACTTATTTACATTCTTTAGAAAGGCAAGGAGCAAGAGGGCACATTACTCAAGTATTCAAATGGATGAAAATTAAATATTGATAAGATGTTAAATATGCCAGCACAAAATAAAGTATAGAACAACTGATACAAACTGGATAAGTTTAGATTCAGAAAAGACCTGGGTAAATACTGTTCTGCAAAGAAGGTCGTTCATTTAAGGAACAGATTATTGGGTAACAATATACAAATTGTGGGGTTGGCAGAGTGTTTCAATAATAAGTTGGCTACAGTATATACATTATTGTGTATACATATAATATAAGAATTACATGAATATATTACATGTATATAAAGAAAACTAACGTGTAATTTCAGATCTAATCGAAGAATTCAGATTTAACCGACTAATACTATAATTAAGAAATAAAATATGAGTAGAAGAATTGGATATTATTACAAGTTTGAAACTCAGCAACATGTTCTAAACCAAAGATGTCAAAAAAAAAAAAAAAAAAAAAAAAAAAAAAAAAAAAAAAAAATTGTAAAGAGAGGTATGACAAAGACAAAGCTTCAGTGGCCAATCCTCCATGGAACACCTTACTTTAGGCTCTACATATCTTTAACAGAATGGGTAATGAAGTAGACATATAGCTTTGTTAGATTGGACCAAAATGTTTAGTAGCATCGACATAAAACGTTATACATATTTACAAAAGCATTAATCAACACGGCAAAACCTCGATCACAAGGCTTTTTTTAAGTCAATTACTTACCGAAGGAGGCTGATGGGCAAGGTTGATCTGCCCCACAAGGGCCACATTCTGCACTCCGGGCATGGAGCCTGTACCGAAGTTCTGTGCGCCTAGCAAGGAAGATGCACAACTCAAAATACAGCAAAAACCATAAAAGTAAGTGATGAAAAAGCATCTACATATAAATATACTGTATACTCTATATGTATATAACTATAGGTCAGAGAAAATAATAAATGACCACATAGTCAACAAAATAAATATACAAGATATTACACTATGAACACAAAGGTCATTCATGTCAGGCATAAACACATCAAACTTCGTAACAAATTGATAATGCTGGATAGCTTCTTACTTTAGACAGAAATAATAATGTGTACCTCAAGAAAAATGTCAGAAATGTAAATTATTTATAAAAGCACAACAGGAAAACTAGAGTTCCTTCGTGAACTTGAATTCATTTTAGAAGTTGCAAGCTTAAATGAGTTTCTTTCAGCAAAGGTTTGAATTCGACTCAGTGGAGGTGCCAGAAATGGTATTTGGAAAAAAGTTATGAAACCATCTCTCTCTAATTATTGGTTTCGATGAATTACAAAGATATTTCATAGAAACTTTTGACTAAAGAAAGTGAGAAAATCTTTGGAGTAGGGCAGTGGAATTGAACCCATGATCAAGCTCACCCTAGTTCTAGAAATGCAACCTCGATTCTATTGCCCTGCCCCAAATCTTCTCGCATAGATACATCATGCTATTGTCATTTCACTGTGTAAAGCAAGTGTCATGGGAAAACTCAATGTCCCTGATTCATCTACATTATTTGGGGTCATGGCCATAAATTTGAAAACTAAGCTTCAGGTGGCTAGATTCTGAGAAATAGATGTATAGAAATATAAATAAATTCTGATAGATATGAGGGGTAAAATCTCTTTACAGTCAGGATCACTTGGTAGATTGGTCCTATCGTGCAGTACTCAGGGAGTCAACTCACAGCCAAAAGGTCCTGGATATGATTACCATGGTATGACAGAAGTGTTTTAGCTATATGTTTTCCCTTTCAATCAATGCCTCTGTTCCCCCCCCCCCCCTAGCAGTAAATAGGTACAGTACCTACGAATTAGACAACTGTTGTGGGTTTTGGCCTGAGGAAAAGTCAGTGGTTAACCTAGAAGGACCCCGATAAGTCTAACAGTATTTCTGTCTGACTAAGAAACCAAACCACACCTTCGTAAGAAAATTAGGTAATTAGTGTGAGAGAAAATGGTAACTCCAATAATCTAACCGACTGCAATGTAAATAACTTTTGTAGATGAATGCAACAACAGGAGAAACAGGTGTTGCCAGGAGGAAAGCCTAAGAGCATATTTAAAACAAAATTCTACTATTTATCTATTTTTTTTAGTTTTGCATAAATATACACGACAAATTTGATGATAAATAGCCAAAAGCGGACAATTATTCGTAAATCCAGGTTGTGTATGAAATGACATGACTAGGACTGTGAAGGACGCAATGTAATACAATTTGACTAATGTAAAGGCTCATATGTGCTAAAAATGTGTTCAAAAGTACTAATATGTAATGCACCAAGAACACACGACACAAATTTTGTAGAAAACCATTTTCAACTAATTGCAATATACAGTATGTGTAAAATCTACTGTACATAGTACATAAAAAAATAATGAATAATAATAATAATGAATAATAATAATAATGAATAATAATAATAATGAATAATAATAATAATAATGAATAATAATAATAATAATAATAATAATAATAATAATAATAATAATAATAATAAATAATACTAAAAGTTAATTACAGATGGAGGGCTACTCCCAGCATCCACTTAGTACACACTTCAATCAAACTGAAATTAAATGGAGGATGATAAGCTGATTGACGCATTATATTACATCTCCACTACACAGCCTTTATGTAACAGTATAATGTCACAAAAGGGCAAAACATGAAGCTGCAAAACAGCTTCATGAATCTCAAGCAGTACCAAAGCAAGATGAAACATGCATGCAAAGAAGGTGTGTACAAGATGGATGTGGAACAGTTTCCGGAACCCGAGATGACACCGAAGTGAAACAAAACAAGTGTGTAAAGAACAAAACAGAAATGTGGCCTTTAAACATAAATAGGTTAAGGCCTTTCTTGACTAACTGATCACCACACAAAATAAATTAATATTTTCAGTATTAAAACAAGACTGTCATCCTTAATATGTATCCCCAGTGAAGTGCTGCAGAAAGTAATTGGAAAGAGAATCGTGTCGCCTTCGGAGAAGAAAAACTTTAAACTGAGATACGGCATGGATATAGAACATGAAAGTTCATGTCTGAAATGCTGGGCAGCCACTGATATTGTGTCCTGTTAAAGACTATTGTACAAAATAAAGAAGCAGGCAGAAATTACTACTGGATAGACACTTGACTGGACTAAGGAGTATCAGGCATGAAACAGGTATAATGAGAGAGGAAATGTCAGTAGCAGGAAGCAGCAGGTAGGGCCTTGCAGGGCTTGGTCTATGTTGGTTACAGGTGACACTAAGCTTTTGAGAATTGTAATGACTGAGGAGAATTTCTGGATGCTGCAGGAGGGTCAAAATATACTGCAAGATTGGGCAGACAAGTGGTTACTAGAATTCAATGCCATCTAATGTCAAGTAAAATTAATAGGGATAGAAAAAAGATCAGATGAGGATTATGGAAAAGAGAGGGGACAAAGGAAATGGAAAGCTCTAGGTGTGGATATACCAAATTTAACACAGAGGAACAAACAGAATAACATTGGCAAACATATGCAAAATCAGTAAGCATATGGACAGCTTTTAAAACTTTAATCATTAATCCGTTTAATTTTAAAGCATTTAATCATTCAGAACACTATACCGATCAACCTTAGAATGTGCAGAACTTGATTTAAACCCCCATGTTGTCAAGTACAAGAAAAAGACTGAGATGAACCAGACATTTACAACAAGACAGGTGCCAGAAACAGAAAAGGTTCCATTGTGAAGGCAGGATAAAGGTTCTCAATCTGACAACAACTGGAGAGAGAGACAGATTTTGTAGAGCTATTATCACAACCCATTAAACACTAAGGTGATAACATACATACATCCATCTTTAAAACGTAGATAAGACAGTGCCTAATAGGCTTTGGAATCTGAACTGCAGTTGACTTCAGTTTAAGAAGTGGAACCACTGAGGTAAAACTCAACCTCCACAATCATAATTAACAATTAGGTGATCACACACTTCTACAAATATTCCTCACTTGTTTCTTCCACTTTAAATTCATTTATTATTTTCAAAACACTATATTCAGTAATGATTTTATTTTGGGATCCAAACCTTCTCTCCCACAAGCACTTAGCATTAACATTTGCAGTTTGATCATTTGTGGCCATGAATGTATTCCTTGCAAACAGCAAAGTCCTATTGTATCTTGTGTCTGTTATTGCAGGCTAAACTGAGCTGATCTCCAGTGGAGCTGTAGCATCTCTAATGACCTCTTAAGTACCTTTAAAAAGTTTGTTGTGGCACCAATGCTAAGAATATCATATCCCAGACCAACAAAATACTTATCCAGAGGATACAGTGCATCTTACTGTAGAGGGTAAATGTATACAAATAGTTGAGAAAAAGGTAACCCGGCCAACAAGAAAAATATAATTAAATTAATAAAGCTATCTCGGTTAAACTGCTTACTTGGTTTAGGAAAACTTGTCTTGCAATTTGACTGGAAACTTAGATGGTAATGTTGCAATTTAAGCCTCAAACCAAGTAGTGGAACTGGTAAGGTTATTCAGTGTCATGTCTTCCCAAAAACATGTTTTACCAATTGCTTTACATCCAGGTTCATGATTACTGCAAGGGTGTATAGAGGTGAACAGCAAAGGAATGGTATCCAACTGTCCCACCTTGCCCAGGGTTTGAACCCAGGTTTTCTCACTTGCAAAGCAAGCTAGTCAGGGCATTAACCAGTACACCACAGTGTTGCCTGGATGTATTGTGTGCGCGCTCAGTGCAGAAGCACATAAACACCGCATGCTGTTCCTTGACTGTTCTTGTTTAAGACTTGCTTCTAAACTTACCATTGACTCCAGGCCTCATAACTGCAGGTTTGGCAATGGACTCTTCCTCCACATGATGGGCTCCTCCCCCTGTGTCTCCATGTTGCAGAATATTGGCCCTGTGAAAGCAAATTAACAAAATTCATTAAATACCTGCAAGCTTGCAAATTCCCCATTTGCAACTTCAGTACAGTATAGAGGGCTGTGTTTTGGGATAAATAGGGCCTTTCAAATCACTTCACCTTGAACTTAATTAGCTGTGCTTACCTAGCCAGGTCTACAGGAAGCGAGATCTAGTTCTAGATCCCAGCTTCAAAGCTTTGGTAACTGGTACATTTATACCACTGTACATTGCAGTACTTTCTCTTGGCGCTGTGAATGGAGGTTGAATGCACCACTGCTGCCACAAACTCATTCCACTTGTTTACCATCTCAATGGCTCATTTGTGTTTCCAACATCTGTGCCTGTTCATTCTGTTGCCCCTGGAAATCACTATCTAATGAGTTTGGTTGTCCTCCTTGGTACCTTATACACTGTGCATCTTGGCCTTCTCTCTTCTATCGGCATTAGAATAGGTTCTCTAAGCCTGTCTTCTTATTTAATCTCTCTCTGATACTATTCATGTAGCTTATCTTTAGAATTACTAAGTTTTCTTCTTGTGCTTTACCAAGTATAAATGCAATGTTGTTGCTGCATAATCTAGGACTGGTCTAATGTACATTGAAATCCATTCTTATGTTCCCAACTTCTCACTGCTGCTGATGATATCCTGTTCATATGCCTATGGTGTTGAGGCAAGAAGTATGTCCAAGTTTGGGTCCCTTTCCTTTTTTAATCCTGCAACAACTTTCCTTATATTTACCGTGCTGTCCTTCTGGCTTCTTTTCCCCTCTCCCAAACATCATTATCTACATTGGAATTAGGCTTCAGTAGCCTCTTGTCTACCCATACCTGTAGACCATCTAAATCTTTCTGTATTGTTGCGTAATCCTCTATAAATCCCAATGACCAACCACCATCTACCTCCCACCAACTCATCTCATCTCTAATAATTCTCCAATCGATATTAACAGGAAGAAAGGATGTGCATCAACGGTAAATATTATACACCTTTGCTTAACCCTTCTGCTGCAACTAGCTCTCAATGACTCCATCCATTACATAGGCATTTCCACATCTGAGTTCACTAAACGCAAGACACCTTATGTATGGCTGTTAATAATTATCAGAGATTTCTGGTGTTGTGGTGCCTATGAGGTCAAGACTTTCCTTCCTGCAGTACCCACACAACCATGATGGCAAATGCACATCTGTTCACCTGCGACCACCAATTCCCAGGACCTGAGAGGTTAAAATGAGGATATTCTTCACATAATGGACGACTAGTGATAATTCTGATATCAGTGACGACAATAGGTCCTCCCTGCCTGAGAGTGTGGGTGTTATAGAGGAGAATACAAAGAATGAACAATAGCAACAATTCAAGTGGAGAGAAGTAGTGTTGATTGTGGACAGTGACATAAGAGGGGAACCAGTTAGGTTAGTGACACAGCCAATGACCCACTATCACCTCTACACAAACCAGCTGTACTTCATGTAGAAATACCAATACCATCTCATGAGTCATAACCAGCAAAACATAAGCCACCAGCGGATGATACTGTAACGTAAACCATTCAAAATCAAGCTTTGAAATTGTGTGCCAGCACCATGTGGCACTGCATGGCATCACCAGAACCACAAAACCATATATCACAGGATTCTGCGACAACACTTCCCCCATCTAGCTGCAGTGACGCTAAGTCCCGGAAGCACCTCAAGGTAACCTCAAGGTAACCTCAAGGTAGGTATCTATGACTTCCCTGCTGGTTAAATGCTACCCCCTGCTCAAAGTGGACATCACCACCAATAGATTACTCTGAATGATTATGATAATAGCAACATTCACATTTATCATCCAGAACAAAGAGGAGGATGTCCACATTCTCGCTGTGTACAGCAAGGTGTCATGACAACCTGGTGTCCGAGCGTAGAGGGTGCAAGGGACCCTTTAGCCACGTCGCTGCATTTTCCAGATATTGCATGTGCACTACAGATTTTAGAAAATACAAATTATTACATGAAACCAATAAAGAATCTCTTCAAAGCATACCTAATTACAATATATGTCAGACCAAAGCTAGAATATGCAGCAGTAGTATAGTCTGCACTTAAAAAAAAAAAATGGCATTAAGATAGTAAAAGTTGAAAGACATGCAACAAAGGATTCCACTGGTAAGAAATATAATCTATGAGGAAAAGCTGAGAGTACTGGAAATGATTTTATTGAAGATAAATGGAAAAGAGAGGACTTGATAACATAAAAGTTTAGAAACAGATATAAAGAGGCAGATAAGAAAGTTTTCAATTAATAGTAAGCTATTAACTGTTAAAAAAAAAAAAAAACAGCATTGAATGTTATGAAATGCCATTTTCTGGGTGAGACCCGGAGGCTCCTCGGAGCTATACTGGGCTGATGTGTATATATATTAGACCATAGCAACAGTCAATCTATGGATTTCTGAGCCTACCGAGGACCAGCACAAGAACCTGGCCCCCTCAGAGAAGCATGAGGAGCCTCTCCCGGCATGCCTCCCTCCCTCCCTCCCTCTGGTCACTATTTTTTTCGCGCTTTTGATTTTCAGCCTCTGAACTGTGGTTGGGTAGCCAGTGTGAGAGATCTGGGACCCCCTTCCTTCCCCCTACCAGGGAGGGGGAAGTTGCGCAGACAGCGGCTGCGGTGACATCATGCTTGTTTGCTTTTTTCTGACTGGGGAGTTCTGTTTGCTCGTTCGACTTTCGGTTAGCAATTTTTCATTAGCTATAGTTTGTTTTGGGATTTCTATCTTTCTGGGTGCCTGACCTGGTAGATGGCAGATATAGACTGCTTCCAACTACATGGGGGTGTCTATAGGTCATTGCTCCTCGTGCCTTTCTGAAGGAGCCAGGTTCTGGCGTTGGTCCCCGGTAGGCTTAGAACTCCATTGATTGACTGTTGCCATGGTCTAATATATACACATCAGCCTGGTATAGCTCTGGGAAGCCGAAGGGGCTCTCCATAGAAATAATAATAGAAGATATTTTCAGAGTAAAATTGAGAGTCTTTTTCCAGGTGAGGGGGGGGACAACACAGACGAGCCAGAGAAGTGTAGGGGGAGGGGGGGGGCAACACAGACGAGCCAGAGAAGTGTAGGGGGAGGGGGGGGGCAACACAGACGAGCCAGAGAAGTGTAAAGACATACTTGTATGCAGCGAGAGTGGTAAACAAATGGACAGATTAAAGAGATTAGACCAGAGGTGATGGAAGTAACCACCATTAACAGCTTCAAGAGCAAGTTTAACAGAGTACCACAATTTCAAGATATATAAATACAACAGCACAGTAGCTACTTGGCAGGATTCTAGAGCTAGTTCTTGCTATCGGTAGACACAGCTAAGTAAGCACAACTAGGTAAGCACAAAAAAAGCTAATGGTGGACTAATGATGAACTTTTGAAATAAAAACTATTTTGAAATTTCAAGAGACACTGGGTAAAGTACTCTTAATAAGAACATAATAACATAAGAACAAAGGTAACTGCAGAGGGCCTATTGGTCCATACGAGGCAGCTCCTACTTATAACCCCCTAATAATACAGTGACCTGTGAGTCACTGTATTATTAGGGGGTTATAAAAAGTAAAAGTACCTGTAATTCACATGTTAAACTCTTAAAAAATTGAATTTATTTTATTAATATAATATTTCGAAAAACTGAGAAAACTTTAACTTCTTATTAAAGCTATATTACTCTTTTTTTTTTTAGTGAGATAAACAACAGTCATTCCATTTTTATATTATAAGGGGAAATTATGTTACCAATATCCACAATTTCATTAAATTTAGTACAGTGTTAATCAAAAATATAATCTTTTGAATTGATCATTCCCTTAGACCCTTCTACATTTTGTTATTGTTCAAGGTTGCATGATTACATGTTCTCTGTGCTCTGATCCCACTCAATAGTATCAAGTATGTCATAGTCACTCCTGCCATTTACCCGCGCTTCTTTGAATTTCTTCACTTTGACATTCAGAGCACTGGGTAGAAATCACATTGCATCTACTTACCTGATAGGGGATACCATATCTTCTACCATTGCTGAACCATCGTCTCCTTCAATTCCTATGTGATCCTTAGCTCGCTGTTTCTTGAGGATGATGTCAATATAGCCAGCAATCAGCTGGGCAATTGGCTCGCCTTCCGTAGTCTGTACAGAGTAGTACTGATCGGAGTAGTCGCCAAAGTCTAGAAAAATAATACATTATTAAATCAAGACACCACAGATAACACCCCCCCCCCACCCGGTTCATGCATGTATACTATACACAAACATGTGACATCAGCTTGAAACTCCTTGTTTCAAGTACATGAAAAGACATTATGAAAGTCAAGACAATTTGCCAAGGCTGGTCCCTAAACTAGGAAAGAATATGACAAGTGTTTAGGGAGAAGTTAACCTCCCATCACTAGAGGAAAGATCCTGAAGCAACAAGATCGTATGGCATAAGAGAATACACAAGGGGGTCTATAATACAGAAAGGAACACAAAAGTATGTTATTGAAGAGCATATTGACACAAATTCTGGTCACCTTCATGTATTGTTTATTATCTCTCTAAGTATTGTTCCTACAGATCATACTGTGAGGATATCATAGATCCTTGTATAGCCTTGTAGTGACATACAAGGCTGATATCGGCCTTGTATGTAGATACTAACACCCTAATGAGATTATACTGGAAATTACTGTACAAAGACTGAGATAAGCAGGTTAATTACCCAAGGTGAATGTGTTTGGCGATGCTGCCCATCTCCTCACTGTGGTCAGCGGCCATGTCTTCAAAATCTCCTTGGTCTTTTCATCCAGACGCAACACTGAATCCTTAGTCACACCCAACAGCCGAGGTACCAGCTTGTTTTTGCCTTTCATTTTCTCCTTTACGAGAAAGAATGTCACTCCATAGGTTTTTAAAGACCGAGCTTCACCAACGTAAACAACCTGCAATATTAATGCAACTAAATAAAACTGATTTTAATATTGTACAATGCTCAATGTTTTATTTAATGGGTGATATGTTGTGTGAACACTTGGGAGGAGGGGAGGCCAGTGCCTGGGACCGGAGGGTCAGCCCTGGGAGAAAATTCATATACAAACGATTCAAAAGGCATATACTGTATTACACCAAATATTACAAAGTAATCATAACTAATAAAATTTCCTTGTTTTTGAAAGCATTGTACAGAATACCATCTTGCAACCATTCTTACACCAGTTTGTGAAACTCTACACATACCTGACTCTCTAAACCAAACATTTCCTGTATACATCCCACACTTCACTAACTTCATTTCTCACTGTTTCCATTACTGTAACTATCAACTGTTCTTGCATGTGACAATCGTTATGTACTGCATGAAACAAACATTTACATAAATGAATATGATATATGAGGATACTAGCTTCATTTCAGTTTTGAAATAATTGCTTGTGCTCCCACAAGAAAGTTATTTTTGTGCACATACAGTATATTTAAAATTATAATTTGTTTTTTTTATGAAAACTTAAATTAACCAAATAATTTCATAAAATAAAGAAGGATAGAGAAAGACGAGAGGCAGAGCCACACTGCCTCAACTCTAGTACTCACCTTAGCATCCAACTCATTGTGGCCAGCGTGTAATTTGTGTTCTTGAAAAATCATCTTCTCAATTCCCTTTGTCTTAATGTAACTCTGAGGCAGGAATTCTTTGAGACTGAAACAGAACAAATATTATACATATACTCCATCTCTTGGTAAGGTACATATTCACCCAGCATGAAGGTGGGAAACCCATGCACTAGCTCCCCAACCCACCCAACTTGCTTTGGAGATGCTTCTTCTTAAAAAACAGTAGATATTTCATTTTTAAAAAGTATATCACTTCTAAATATTTCCCTATAGACCAAACATAATTGACATACTTCACTCAAGTTTTCTGACAGCAACAAAACCTTTTTTATTGTATTCCTAGATATGAAAATTCATGTTGTACATTAAGTAGATAAGAAATAGTATATAAGCTGAGATATTTTACCCTGGGAGCCCAATTCAGGAAGCAAGTACAGTTATGGTTCGTCAGCTTCACTACCTGTATTCTCCTGATCATGCCGGCAGAGAGTGAGCTTGGGCCTACCTATTAACTTAACTACTGTACTTGAAAGTGTGTTGCATCTTCTCAAACTACAATAATTTTCCGTCATTTTATATTGGCCAAATTTGTTCTGTTGCTCTCTATGAAACACAATCATACTATTTCATACTCAAAGAACATGCTCTTAAACTGTTCAATTTCCTACAACATTATTCTTTGAGTATTTTTTCCCATTTGTGCTTATTATTTTGATTCCTATGAAGCCTTGCAAATTGCATCACCCATCTCACAGTTATTCCTCCTCCACTTATGAGGCATTGCATCCCCCCCACTCTCAGTTGCTGCTTGGTATTGTTTGCAATATTTTCCCCCCCATATGCCCCTCCTCACTACTTTACTTGCTTTCCTCAACTAGTGTGTCAAAACCTAGGAAGACACCCACCACATCTTTCTTGCTGTAATTTATGTATAAACATATATAAAATGTAACTTACTCAAGAAAACCAGTCTTATGCTTTGCTTCAACATAATCACCAAACTGAATCTGACATTGGATGCCGGCAAATCTACAAGCACGTTCTAATGTCACGGGATGAGTCCCATCGATGATGGCATCTCGGCACTGTTGGGAGTTACAGTATTACAGTAAAAATCATAAATATAAAATATATATATACAGTATATATAAATATAAAAATATAAATAATTTTTTCAGCTCAAAATTATTAACACACCTATTTGTACTGTATTTCCATGAAATAACCCATAATACGTACAATTAGAAAAACTACATATTTCTCAACAATATATTTACAGATATGCTCCAAGAACAAGTACAGCAGATGGGAGTACACAGATGTAATGCACTTGCATTCATTAATATAAACATGCTAGTAAAACTTTGTATGTATGTTAATGGATATTTGATGCACTTATTCCTCCCTGATTTCCTAGTGTTTTATCATACTTGCTCTTGAAGCTGTGAATGTAGGCGACTTCACTACCTCTTCTCTCAGTTCATTTCGGTGGCTTATCTCCTTCAATGTATACGAGTACTTTCTTATGCATGTCTCAATTTGTGTTTCCAGCATACATTTACCTCCTATGTCTCTTCCCCCCTCAATATCTTGTGTGTTTTCCTTCCCCGTGTTGATTGGGCTGTCCTTGTGCACTATGTCTATCCTCCTGAGTAACTTATACATTTTGATCATATCACCACTAATATCACTCTCTTTGTGTTAAGAGACTGAATCACATTTGCCTGTACTCATAGCTTTGCACCTATTTATGGCATCAGTCATGTAGTCTCTGAACTAATGAATGAAGCATTATTTACACAACAATGAATAGTATTATAAAAGAATAATGGATAAATGTTTGGAGCATTAAATCCCTACAGCTTCTTATAAAGACATGGAGAAGGGTATTTTAGTCAGTTAGAAAATAATGCAGAAATTAAGTCCAAATAAGTTCATTTTGTGTTTGAGTGATATAATCTCTGGCTCAGAATGTTTGGTAATATGTTTATTGTTTGTGATGTGTGTCTATGTATGTATTAACATGATGTACTGAACGGGTGAGAATAGCTTGAGCTACCTCATCCCTTTGTGTGTATTTTACCTCAATAAACTTATTTCAATATCAATCTCTGGGGATTGTTAGTGTGAGTGAGACACAGTAGTTACAGCAAATAACATCAGATACTGTACTTAGGAAACATTCTTAAAAAGGATGTAAAAGAAAAATAGAGAAAATGCTTACTATCCTCACACTACCTCGGTAGCCCTGAAATAGTTTCAATCACTACCAGTGATTACCTTCTGTGCTCAACCCATCATATTTTATTGATCCTTATGGATTATGAATTTTTGTTTTTGTGTGCATCACAATGTAGGAGCTTTAATTAGTTTAGCCCTTTAAGGGTTAATACTATCCTTGGTCCTGGTCACTGAATCAGTAAAATTTCCAAATGTTCTTGTCATAAACTAATATTCTGATTTGTAATGACTTTAATCACTCCCCCAAGGAATGTTCCCAAATCTTTAATGTCTCACTTACCTGGACATAGAGTAGACCCAACTGAACTGGATCTCTGGAATCAATGTTTTGATCTGAGAAGAAATATTTTCGTCGTAGCAACAAGATTTCTTTCTCCTCAATGCCTTGTTCTCTCAGCGTCTTGCTGTGGTCAACCCAGTTGACTGTCATGTAAAAAAAAAAATATAGAGTGTAATAAGATAAGGGAATATAGTATTCTGAGAGTATGATGAGTATAGAATATAATGAGTTAAAAGTATAATGAGGTTAAACAGAAAATATTCATTAAGTATAATGAGTACAGATTATAATACAGTAGTTTAGGAAATATATAGTATATTTATTAAATTATAATAAATAAAGGTGTAATAAGTTAAGGGAGTGCAATGAGCATTAAGTATAATGAACACAGTTGTTTCTCCTACCACAGACATGGCCATACATTTACAATGCAAACCAGCATTGGCTTCTGTCCTCCATGGTCAAGGTTAGAAATCTGTTAAGCATAATATAATTCAGTGATTTATTGAGCAATCAACCACACAAGGTGATTGTAGTGGTTTTCATGTTACTGTAACAACATACATACATATGCATCTCAAAGCGTTTTATGACAGAGTGATGGAAAGACGGGACACCCCGAGCGCAGCTCTCCTTCTGTAATTACGCTTGGATAATTACATTTATGTCTGTCCTACATAAAGTGTTTGAGGTATGTTCTTTTACATATACTGTAATGTGATTAATGTGCATTTACAAAGGTAAAATACAAATGTAAATGGAAGCAGCCACGGCTAGCCATATACTAAATTCGATCGGCATGGAAAACTCTATAGGAGCAAAGGCATCTCTCCCTACTCTCCACCATATAATAATTACATAACATAATGAGTATAATGGTTTGGTGTGGGTGGAAGATGGTGTGGGTATATAATGGGTATGGCGAGTATCTGACAGGTGGTGGAGTGGTGGTCGAGGCTGACATACTGTATAAGCACTGCATATTAATATTGTCATATAATATGCATATCTTATATCGACAAATATGCCACTGTATCATGCATCAAATATATATGTACTTTTAAACCAAATAAAATATTATTACAGAATGATCTTTATTATTAGGTAGAGGAAGGTATAGACCTGAGCAGTCACCAGGAGGGGAAACCTACCCGCACATGACATGCATCATAAAGAAGAAAGTGGGAAGAGAGACTGGGGGTGGTGGTGTTTACAAAGGTGGGCAGAACCCTTGTTACAAAAGAACTGAATTCCTAGAACATGGTCCATTATGAGGACCATGAGGACCATGCCCAGTAAAGTTGGTCCTTTTCCCCAGGCTGGACGAAAATGGGGACCAACTGGTCTTCTTTTTTCATTATTAATTTATGAAAGGCTAAAAAGAGGACTGCATGTTTGGGTATGTTATTTACAAATACAAAATGTCTGTACAGTAACTGTCAAATTTGATATAGGAATATATCATGAAGCAAATAGTTATATTGAAGCATTGTCAATTGTGTACAATCTTTGTGTACAATCTCTTGAAAAATATTTGGCATTTTATGACAACCCTGATTTAAGTTGCCTTGCCACAGAATTGCAAATCATGCAATGCTTGCAACAGAGCTGAGAAACGTCAGGCTTGTCGGTAGCAAAGCTGGTGTCATGTCATGGTGGTGTATCAGGTAACACTCCCAATCATTTCAGGAGCCTACTGCCTTCTGGTATAATCTGCAGCTGTGTGTCTTAACCGTATTGTAGAGTGAAGAATTTTCACATAATTTTATATTTTACCAAGTTTCAGGATATTAATTTTATTTATTGCATTATTTGGAATTTCATTTTAATTTATGAAAACTAATTATTAATTATTTCGGCCATGTTTAATTGCATACTTCATTTAAATTAAATATTTACCTTATATGGCATTTAGTGCAAGGATTGAAGACCAAGTTGGTCAGAGTTGGTCATAGTCTTTGCAAAATATTTGGCTTCAAGTGAAACTAAAAGCTTGTTTCTGAGGAAGACACTTTGAGACACTTGTCCCTTGGCCCCTTGGGTCCCTCATTTCCCTGTGTGCAGACTTTTATTTGAGTCGGTTATAAAACTGTATGACAGGGCTTGAGGCTGGGGGCCTGGGGAAGTGCTGCCATCTGATGGTGGCTCGGAGAAGCAGCCAGGTAAGAAACTAGAGATTTGGTGAGTACATTACTTGAGAATCCCTGTGTCACCTGTCCACAGAGGACTGAAGAAAATATATTTATGCTGGTTAGCATAGCATTACTGTATGTTAGTGAATGGTCATGTGTGTGGTAGATAAAAATATAATAAAAATATCCTTGCGATGTTAAGCAAGGCTTTGAAAAGCTCAGAGTAAATATGCTAGCCACTCCAGTGCCTCACTAGCACCAGTATGACCTGGCAGGGACAATTAAGAAGTATTCTGCTGTGCCAGAAATGTTACCCTTCCCTCCCAGACTATCATGATCCTGTGACATTTTCTTGCAAGAGCACCCAATTGGGATGCAAGAGCATCCAACACAAGAATAAAGGTAACTTCAGAAGTTATATTGGGCTACATGAAGTAGCTCTTATTTATATCCACTCAAACTCATTCATGCAAATGGCTTAACATAAGAACTGTGTGGCAACTGCTTACTTTCATCATCTGTGCGCAGCTTCTTCTTCAGCTGTTCCATCTTTGCATCACGCTCCTTATCTCCTTCCTTTTTCTTCTTCAATGTAAGCGTTCCGAAGTTGGGTTTGTTTTCAATCTCCTCTTGCTCAATTTCGTTAACCAATGAATATTCATCATGATTCATTATACCTGTGAGCAAACAAAAAACAGTGCAGAAAATAAAATAGTCAGCATAAGCATGTATTGTATCAATACTGTACTATGATCATGTCTTCAATATTTACTAGCGTATCAAAGTTTCTCATTACATACACAAAGATCTGTGATGCAATTATTGGTCCAACTCAGCATTATTATTAATAACAAATATAAAGCAGGTAAAATGCAGCAACCATTAACAAAAATAACTAATCAAATGAATGTCTTTTCTAAAAGTATAGTATAATTAGCATACCAATTTTGGTGCAAATCACCACCATGAGCTGAGAAACAGGCTGAGAGTCGTCTACCAGCAGAGTCTTAACGGTGCCGTCCAACATGCGCACCTTCAGCGTACGCACTTTACGCCTGTATTCCACTACATCCTGAAAAGAGAAACTGCTAAAAACACACGACTTTCCAATTTGTTTTAAATTCAAGGCAACCTAGATTTTACGTTACAATCAGGAGTTTTTAATTAATACTTACAGTACTGTACTGTATTTTACAAAATATGGGTACAGTGCAATCGCAAAAACAATTTACTGTAATTACACTTAACAAAAAAGAAATGGTAAACAAATCTGGATCACTTCTTAGCATCACATGTATGACCTGGTAAGGACATTTGAGAAGATCCTGCTGTGATGGTACAGCTTAGAAAATGTACTGCTGTACAGATACAACACTTACGTGAATAGCCAACTCAAGAGAAACACTCAACCCCACATATTTCAAATGAAATGAAAGTGCTGCCATTTCAATCCCTCCCAACTCATATCACGAATTGATAAGGATACAGGACCAACTGAAATGTCATCACTTTCACGTATGTATGTATGTGTGTTGGGTTGCGTGTTTCAGCCATGCTACTGTGCCATATCCCGCGCTCAAGACAAAAACTTACCTGATCTCTAAGAAGGTAATAGCTGAGGTTCCTGCCTGGCTCCAGCCACACTCCAGAACCCTCATCTCCCGCCAGGAACAAGCCATAATCTTTAGCTGAAACACAAGATTTGCTATATTAGTAATCCCCAAATATATCAATTTCAAGTGACAATAATCATACAAAATAGAAAAATTACAGTACCTAATAAAGCCTCGGTAAAATCTTGATAAAAAAAAAAGGCTGCAATATTACTAAAAATTGCTATGCTACACCTTCGTAATGCCTTGGCACTTTCTACTGGTAGTTACCTTATCTTATTAAAATTGCCTTCACAGAAGAGGAAAGCCATTTCTCTGCTTTGTGTTTCATTATAATTATCTTCACATTACTTTTATTACAAAACATACAAAAATACAATTACTTTTATTACAAAAAGTTATTTTATTACATTACTTTTATTGCAAAACAAAATTAAAGCTAGCAAAACCTTTCATTGTACAAAATATCATTACAGATTGTACAATGAAAACTTGCTGAGCACTTATAAGGACTACTAGGACTAAGAGCTAATGCACCATCACTTTACTATAGTACACTATATACTTACATAAAACCTTTACTCTGAAATGTTTGTACATTAATATATCTTTGGTTTTCCTAGCAAAAAAGGCAGGAACTGACAGGAGAGAGGGGAGTGGAGAGAGAGGGGAGGGGAGAGAGAGCGGAGGGGAGAGAGAGAGGGGAAGGGAGGGGAGTGGAGAGAGAGGGGAGGGGAGAGAGAGAGCGGAGGGGAGAGAGAGAGGGGAGGGGAGAGAGAGAGGGGAGGGGAGAAAGAGAGGGGAGGGGAGAAAGAGAGGGGAGGGGAGAAAGAGAGGGGAGGGGTGAGAGAGAGAGAGAGGGGAGGGGAGAGAGAGAGGGGAGGGGAGAGAGAGAGGTGAGAGAGAGAGAGAGAGAGAGAGGGGAGGGGAGAGAGAGGGGAGGGGAGAGAGAGGGGAGAGAGAGAGAGGGGAGAGAGAGAGAGGGGAGGGGAGAGAGGGGGGAGAGAGAGGGTGAGAGAGGGGAGGGGGGGAGAGGGGAGAGAGAGAGGGGAGGGGAGAGAGGGGTGAGAGAGAGAGGGGAGGGGAGAGAGGGGAGAGGGAGAGAGGGGAGAGAGAGAGAGAGGGGAGGGGAGAGAGGGGTGAGAGAGAGAGAGAAAGAGAGAGAGAAAGAGAGAGAGAGAGAGAGAGACAGAGACAGAGACTGAGACTGACCTTGACCCAAGTTGGCCTCAGTAATCTTCTCCCTGATGGTCTCACAGGCCTTGTACACCGGTGTGGCCGGGTCAAACTGCATCATCTTCCGCACATTCTGCTCCACAATGTGCACCTTCAGTGCCAACGCCATCTTCCTCTCTTCTTACTTCTCAACTTTCTGTCAAGAACAAAAAAACGGATTAATTATAACTGTAAACAAAAATAATTTGATCAACGGGGGGAGAATGTACAGTAAATCTAAGCAATGTGCATCTCAATGTGGAATTTAAATATAATTCCCATTGTTGGGAACAGTAAGGAGGTAATGAGGCTTATCAAGGTCCCCCCCCCCTCCTACTTTCACAGGCATCTGGTAATAGAAAATGTGCCCAACCATTTCTCTATCCTGGCCGGGACTGAATTCGGGTCCCTCGGTTGTGAGCCGAGGAAGTAGACCATTGTGCTACAGGATCTCTCATTTCGGAGTTAAGACATGTGCCAAAGAACACACACTCACAATATGGTTACTTTGCTAACATTGCCCCTTAGACTTGTCAACCCGCTACACATAAGGGGTATAACTGGCCCGCCTCTCCCACTGTTCAAGAGAGAACTCGACAAACACCTCCAAAGAATCAACCAGACTGTGATTCATAAGTCAGGCTGCGAGCAGCCGCGTCCAACCGCCTGGTTGACCAGAAGACCAACTGGGGCCGTTGATCTCCTGAACCTCCACAAGGTAGCCACAAGGTAGGTAGTACTTCATAAATATATATGCATAGTGAATACATTCTCACTCAGATTTCCCTTATGTAAACCCAGACACTACAGGTTATAAAGCTACATTATGCCTTAACACCTGTATTCTATACCCAGATGGGCCGCTAGCCCAAATATTCTCATAATAAACCTGTTCAATAACATCGGCGGTGTATGCGAGGCTGGCTAACATCAGAACGGCCTTCAGGAACCTGTGTAAGCAATCATTCAGAACCTTGTATACCACTTATGTAAGACCAATCCTGGAGTATGCGGCCCCAGCATGGAGCCTGTACCTTATCAAGCACAAGACGAAGCTGGAAAAAGTTGAGAGATATGTCATTGGCTAGTCCCAGAACTAAGAGGCATAAGTTACGAGGAAAGGCTGCGTGAAATGCACCTCACGTCGCTGGAAGACAGGAGAGCTGGGGAAGACATGCTCACTACCTGCAAAATTCTCAGAGGAATTGACAGGGTAGATAATGGTAAGCTGAGTAACACGTGGGGTACGAACAAGGGGACACAGGTGGAAATGAGTACCCAAATGAGCCACAGGGACGTTAGAAAGACCTTTTTCAGTGTCAGAGTAGTTAACAGGTGGAATGCATTAGGCAGTGATGTGGTAGAGACTGACTCCATACACAGTTTCAAATGTAGATATGATCGAGCTCAGTAGGCTCAGGAATCTGTACCCCAGTTGATTAACAGTTGAGAGGCGGGGCCAATGAGCCAGAGCTCAATCCCCGCAAGCACAACTGAGTACACACGCGCGCACACACACAAGGGACTTTGTAACACGTCACCAGCATGGGTTCAGGGAAGGCAAGTCTTGTCTCACAGGTTTAATAGAATTCTATGACCAAGCATTAAGCAAGAATGAGAAGGATGGACAGACTACATTTTCTTGGACCGACAGAAAGCTTTTGACACAGTACCCCTGTGTTGCGTAAGTAGGAGAAACAAGGTGTAGTAAGTGGTAGGGTGCTCCAATGGATAAGGGAGTACCTAAACAACAGGAAGCAGAGTTACTGTGAGGGGTGAGACCTCAGACTGGCGTGATGTCACCAGCGGAGTCCCGTAGGGTTCTGTACTCGGACCTATCCTGTTTCTGATATACGTGAATGATCTTCCAGAAGGTATAGACTCATTACACACACACACACACACACACACACACACACACACACACACACACACACACACACACACGTACGTGAATACACACCTTAGGTCTATATCGAGGTATCCCTAAGGTGGACCTTTTGACCTTCCTCAGGATGCAGCCCCCCACCCCCGCCTTGTACCTACTGACTGCTAGGTGAACAGAGGCATTTGATGAAAGGAAACGTGCCCGTCCATTTCTATCCCTCTCGGATATCGAACTTGAATTCCCAGATTGTGAGTCGAGAACGAAGCCAACTGCAATAGGAAACCCTATTTTGGCCGGCGGGCCGCTGCTAGCAACAGCCTTGCCGATCAAGTCATCAGAACACAGGCCGGGTCCCAAGTCGGGCCTGGGGAAGCCGCGCTCTCTAAATCAACTACAGGAAACCCTGGAGGTGGTTACCAGGGCGGGTGGACTAGCGGAGGGCGCGACGCCCGGCTGACTCCTCGAGCACCAAAATAACTTGCTTGTTCATAACGTCCAATGTGGCACATCCGGCGCGTTAGTCAGGAACAGCCCGGCTGTCTTAGGCTCGTAGTCCCTCCCTTCTCCCCAGTGGGCCCCGCGCTCTCTATACCATACAACTGGTTTGCCTAGCCATGGCCCTACCAACCCAAGCAACCCACCTTACATATCGAGGCCCAGGCATAGAAAACGTCAATATACTGCAATTGCCTTACCTTTGTACCCAAGCTTAAGAGGGTTTTTTCATCTTACTAATACGTCATTACCTGGCGGCCGTACCTGGCTACTTATCGCTGGGATCATCTTGCACCTACATAATATCTAACCCCAAAAAGTCGCTATATTAGTGTTCAAAACAGAACTTGATAAACTCCTCCAAACGATATCTGATTAATTGGGCTTACGTCACACATGAGTCTGCGAGCAGCAGCAGCAGCATCTAACAGCCTGGTTGGCTAGACCAAGCCTAGTGGTGTGGCGAGAGACCGGGCCGCGGGGACATTGATCATCGCAAGTGCTTCAAGGGTGGACTTGCCTGGCACTACCACATGCAGCCCCGCTCCTGTGCCAGGTAAGTCCACTACGGGCTCACCACAGCCCCGCTCCTGTGCCAGGTAAGTCCACTACGAGCTCACCACAGCCCCGCTCCTGTGCCAGGTAAGTCCACTACGGGCTCACCACAGCCCCGCTCCTGTGCCAGGTAAGTCCACTACGAGCTCACCACAGCCCCGCTCCTGTGCCAGGTAAGTCCACTACGAGCTCACCACAGCCCCGCTCCTGTGCCAGGTAAGTCCACTACGGGCTCACCTGGTACAGGAGCGGGGCTATGGTAAGTCCACTACGGGCTCACCATAGCCCGCTCCTGTGCCAGGTAAGTCCACTATGGGCTTACCATAGCCCCGCTCCTGTGCCAGGTAAGTCCACTATGGGCTTACCATAGCCCGCTCCTGTGCCAGGTAAGTTACGGGCTCACCATAGCCCGTGCTACTTGCCACTTTTGTTCCGTGTAGCTGAATCTAAAACAACAACAAAAAGATACACTAGAGGCATAGAGAGCACAGACCCGAGACCCTATACTTCACTGGCCGTGTTTCAGCCACTGAGATCCACTCGCGCTATTCTGACACTTGTGCTAATATAAGAACATGAGTGGTTTCAGGACCTGAGCAGAATACCAGCGGCGGTGACAATAGAGGTGATGGTGGTGATGGTGGTGATGGTGGTGAGGGTGGTGAGGGTGGTGGTGTTGATGGTGAGAGCGGTGGGGAAGGATGCCGAGGGTCTATAGAGGAGATACCAGTGAGGGTCAAGCCCGCATGGTACTCCCTGAGGGCTAACATTCTAGACAATAAAGAGCATGTCTCTGCCATACACAGACACCACCAACTGTCTGTGTCCCAACTGTGCTTTACGTGTCCCAACTGTGTCACAACTGTGTCACAACTGTGCTTTCCTCCACGTGTATCCGGCTGACACGTGGTGGAGGCCAGCCCTCCCCGGCTGGCAGCCGGCAGCTCCATCACATATCCGCCGCTGCCGGAAACTTCACTCCGCCACTATCCGGCTCAAAACTATTCTTAACCTACTTTGATATTTTGAATGTATTTAATATTTGTCAAACTGTCGACAGTTAACCTATGATGAGTGACAAACTAACCCGTTCTTTCTATTTGCCACTCCGTAACAAATGCAACTGTTTTTGCCTGACAATAAGCTATCGTGGTTATTAAGTTTATGTATTCACCTTGTACTGAACTATATGAAGTGTGTGGACAAAGACAGGGACACACACACTCCAACACTATATCTTGGATTGTAGTAAAATGGAGCCATTTAGAGATAAATCTAAGCTTACGCTGTATGATATGGCAACCTATCTTAATATCAAGGATAAAATACCTGAAATCCTTGCGTTGTATACTGTACATATTTCGCTCCCAGTAGATAAATGACATATGAGATTGAGAAACTCAGTATTGTGAAGACTAATAATAAACAGCAGCTCCCCTATGACCGTAATATCTCCATTGGTCAAACAATTATGTATTAGCGATAAGACCTACCATTAATGTATAATGACTTACTGTAAATATATAGCTCTTGAAATAGAACATTTTCTGTAACTAGCTGGGAGGGAGCCGGTCGGCCGAGCAGACAGCACGCTGGACTTGTGATCCTGTGGTCCTGGGTTCGATCCCAGGCGCCGGCGAGAAACAACGGGCAGTTTCTTTCACCCTATGCCCCTGTTACCTAGCAGTAAAATAGGTACCTGGGTGTTAGTCAGCTGTCACTGGCTGCTTCCTGGGGGTGGAGGCCTGGTCGAGGACCGGGCCGCGGGGAAACTAAAAAGCCCCGAAATCATCTCAAGATAACCTCAAGCTGACATTGTAACTGTAAGGTGTGAAGGATAGATGAAATTGTTTATGTAATAATCTAAGATGAGGTCTGATAAAGACCTTTTGTGGCCTCTGTAATGCTTTTGCGCTACCGCTCACAGGATGGGTATGGGATGCACAATAAACTAGCCGCCTCTTGGTGGCAACAGTCAATCATCTTATTGTATTCACCTAGCTGTGCTTGCGGGGGTTATCTTGAGGTTATCTTGAGATGATTTCGGGGCTTTAGTGTCCCCGCGGCCCGGTCCTCGACCAGGCCTCCACCCCCAGGAAGCAGCCCGTGACAGCTGACAAACACCCAGGTACCTGTTTTACTGCTAGGTAACAGGGGCATAGGGTGAAAGAAACTCCGCCCATTGTTTCTCGCCGGCGCCTGGGATCGAACCCAGGACC